GTCTTGGGTTTCTCTGGATAGATACCCAAGAGTGGAATTGCTGGGTCATACGGTAGTTCCATTTCCAGTTTTTTGAGATACCTTCATACTGACTTCCATAATGGCTGCACCAATCTGCAGTCCCACCAACAGGGCACCAGGGTTCCCTTTTCTCCACAGCCTCACCAGCACTTGTTTGTTGATTTATTGATGATAGCCATTCTGACCGGGGCGAGGTGGTATCTCATTGTGGTTTTTATTTGCATTTCCCTAATGGTAAGTGAGGTTGAACATTTTTTCATATGCCTGTTGGCCATCTGTATGTCCTCTTTGGAGAAATGCCTCTTTGTATCCTCTGCCCATTTTTTATCCCCCCATTTTTTAATTATGAAAAATTTCAAGCTTAGATAATCTTAGGTTTGGTTTTCGTACTTTATACTGTCTTCTATCTTTTTAGTTCAGTAACAGAGCTACCTCATTCTTTATCAAGTCTGTTAGTCATTATGTAGACATATAATTTATTCAGCCATTTTATTTTGAGTACACATTTAGGTTCTTCCCAAGTCTTATTAAATAAAAGCTATGGTGAATATCCTTGCACATATTATTTCTCCCCAGTTTTATTGAGATATAGTTGACATACAATATTGTATTGCTTTAAGGTGTGCAACATGATTTGATATATTTGCACATGTATCTTTAGATTGTCATGCCATATATTAGTAGGACAGATTTCTAGAAGTTGGGCTGTTGGGTCAAAAGGCAGAGAAATTTAAAAGTCTAATTAATAAAGTTATATGCCCATACCAGCATATTATGAGATAGTCTGTTTCCCTACCGTGGAGCCAGTGCTTATATTTTGAAATGTAAAAAAAATTTGGTATTATTTTTCATTTAACATTTTTAATGATTGAATAACAGGTCTTGTTCTGTAGCTACCATATATTTTTCAACCTTTTCCAGCAGATGGGCATTTACTTAGTTGGGGTTATTGTTTTACTGTTGCTGCTGCATAAACAGTGTTACAATAAAGATGCTCTGAACATATACCCTTCTGTGTAGTGCACAGGGTTCCTGGGTTGAAACATATTGTGTAGTTGTAATCTCAATGGGTATTGCCATATTGGTTTTTTAGAAGCCTGTTATTCTCTACATTTTCCTGGGCATCAATGCATGAATTTGCCCCTTTCCCACATCCCCAGCAGAGATAGATATTACATACCTATGTTTTTATTTTTTTTCCAACCAGTAGAGAAATGTCTTAGTTACTTGCATCGCACTTTCTCTTCCTTAATAATTTGTAATATCTTTTTGTTGTTGTTATGATTTGTTTGTCATTGGGATTTGTTTTTCTGTGCATTTCCAATCCTGTACTTTGCCTGTTTTTCCCTGTTGGGTTGTTTGTCTGTTTCTTAGCAATTTCTACATACATACACATGTACATGTGACATGTCCTCATTAGGAAATCCATCCTTACCCAGATTCTAATTTACTTTTCTAGATTTTCTTACAATACTTTTTTTATTTTTTAATTTAAATATTTTAAAAAATATGATGTAAAGGGAAGATCTTTCTCTACAGCAGTGCTGTCCATTAAAATATGCAAACCACTTATGAGTATGTAATTTTACATTTTCTAGTCCTGGCTGCATTAAAAAGAGTGAAAAGAAACAAGTGAAATTAAATTTAATTTCACCAACTTAACCCATTATGTCAAACGTTATTTTTACACGTAATCAATTTTCAACATTTATTTTATTTTATTTTATTTTTAAAGATTTTTATTGGGGAATTGGGGGATGGGAACAGCACTGGGGAATTGGGGAAAGGGGAACAGACAAGTTGCTGTCGTTTTTGTTCTTCAGTCTAGTTGTGGAGGACATTGCTTCACTGGCCCAAGTTGGCACCATCATTGCGCTCTTCCCGGGTGAGGCAGATCAGTCGCCGGCTTCTGGACGGCCGCTCACTGCGGCTGCTGGCCGCTCACGCTGGCTGCTGGCCACACACGGTAGCTGCTGGCCACACACGGTAGCCCATGGCAATCCACTGCCACAGGGACTGCAGCCCACGCCGTCGCCGGCGACTCATGGCAGCCCAGCTCCAGGTTGAGCTGTTGTTCAGCATCTTAGCTGTGGAGGGCAGTGTCACTGGCCCTCATATGTGGGATCCGAACCGGGGCCCTCTGGCATCCCAAGCGAGTTCTTAACCATCGCGCCACTCGGCCGGCCCTCAACATTTATTTATTTGTTTGTTTGTTTGTTTATTTTAGCTGAGCCATCCTGCCACTTGTTGGCAGCTCAGCGGCAGCTCAGCTCGGGCTGGAAATCCAACTGCTGTTGCTCAGAGCTCATACTCTTGAGCGAGCTCTTAACCAACTGAGCCACTCGGCCGGGCCTTCAACAATTATTAATGAGATATTTTATGTTCTTTTTCATACTAAGTCTTTGAAATGTATATATTTTACTTACATCACATCTGAGTTCAGACTAGGCATATCTTAGGTGCTCAGTGGCCACGTGTGGCTACTGGTTCCTGTATTAAACAGTGTGCAGTAGATGGCTTAGATGAATGTTAGTTGTGCTAGCTCCATTTATTAAATAATCATCCTTTTCCTCATTGAATTACTTGAACTGCCACATTTGTCATATGTGAAATTCTTTCATAGACCTATTTCTGGATTTTTGATTTTGTGTTCCAATCCTCTCACCAATTTCTCTTGTTACACCACAGATTTTATTTGTACCACATGCACCTGCCGTTCTGAGCTTTACATAGTCCTCAAACACTTTTATAATAGTTCTTACCGTTTAGAACTTTACATAACTGTCGTTTCTCTAATTCCTAGCTGGTTATCTGAACTTTTCTGGCTCTGGTTGTACCCGTACATGCATCCCCACCCCTAACCTTGTTTTTGTGTCTCCTTAACTAGACTGAGCACATGAAGGATAAAAATGGTCTTTTATCGTTATTCCTGTAACCTAATACATTTTACGGCACATGTGTGCTCAATAAATTCGGAATGAATTCCTCCCAAGTTTATTATCCCTTTTTCCCATAGTCATTTGCAATAAGATGTTTAAAATGAGAAGGAGCATAGTGCTTTTTTCCAGGAACAGTAAGGGACTGGAGAAGGAATTTTCTTTTTACCCTGCAGTGTCTTGGCTAGGAAACCCTGAGGAATAGAGTGGATGTTACAGCTTTATCAGGGAAAGCAGCTGGTCCAACCAGCAAGGCCTGTGGCTTTCCTGTCCAGCATTACTTGCTCTTCTTCTTTATGTACATTTCCTGGCCTCTCATTCCAGAGCGTGTGCCATTGTGAGCATTGTGTGCACCTGTGAGCATGGGATCTGTAATAATCGGAATTGTTCTTTTGCCTCCCCTGCCCTATATACCATAATTCTTTAATTAACTCATTAAGATTGTAAATCACTAACTTAAAAAAATCTTAATAGTATCATTTATGATTCTAGGTCCTCATTGCATATTTTGTTACTTCATAAATAAAAGTTGAATTCTAGTGTATACAGGAGGTTACAACCTGGTTGTCAGTGGTAAGGAAAGGAAAAGAGTGAACTTTTCCCTTGTGTTAGAAAAAAATCATTTATCCTTTCTTGTTATTTTAGAGCCACAGAAAATAATATCCTCTTTTCATCCTGCCAGTTTTGAAAGGAGAGAGAAACAGAAGTCAGAGACTAAAAAACCACCTTTCTTAGTTTTCGGAAACTCCAGTTGGAGGGAATAGCTCAGAAGTAGCTAGTTGATCTGCTTCGCCTCTCTTGAGTTGAACTTGCCTCCCAACACTTGAGGTCTCCTCTCTCCTAACCCCACTGCCCATCTGCACTTGCAGCTAAGCTTCTTATGGCTGGGAGCACATGGGAAACTGTCCTCCTGCACCTCACGAAGGTTAGAGGGGGAAGGGCGCAGAGTGGGCCAGGCTCGCTCAGCTCCTGCTTCTGCTGCACTAGTTAGGTCAGCCCTCACAAGGCCGGGGCGGGGACAGAGGGTGGTTTGGGGACATCGCAAGGAAACCATGAGAATGTAGAATAATTGTTTCCCTAGATAGGTGGGGAGGTAGGTAAATATAGATCTACTTTTTTAGATTGTGAAATTAACATTCAGGAAAGTCATAAAACTAAAGAATGTGGCATAGTAATATTTCTATAAAAAATCGCTGTGTAACTGCCACCCAGCTCAAGAAACAGCACTGCCAGCCCTTCAGGACACCCCTCCAGTGAGCTGCCCCTTCATTACCGCCCCTCCTGGTGGGGTGGCCCTGGCCTCTGGTTAATTATGGCCGTGCTTTTTAAAAAAGATTTTATTGGGGAATTGGGGGAAGGGAACAGCATTGAGGAATCAGGGAAGGGGAACAGATAAGTTGTCCTTTTGTTCTTCAGTCTAGTTGTAGAGGACGTTGCTTCACTGGCCCATGTTGGTATTGTGATCATTGCGCTCTTTCCAGGTGAGGCAGATCGGTCGCTGGCTTTTGGATGGCCGCTCACAGCGGCTCTTGGCAGCTCACACTGGCTACCGGCTGCTCACGGTAGCTTATGCAGCCCATTGCAGCAGGGGCTGCAGCCTACGCAGTCACCGGCAACTCACAGCAGCCCAGCTCCAGGTCGAGCTGTTGTTCACCATCTTTGCTGCAGAGGGTGCAGTATCAATGGCCCTCATGTGGGATCTGAACCTGGGTCCTGCTGCTCCGAGCTGGCGTCCCAAGCCAGCTCTTAACCAAAGTGCCACTTGGCCGGCCCCCGTGCTTTTCTTCATAGCATTGACATCGCCTAACCATATGTCCCTAAACACTGTGTACTAGTTTAGTTTTGCCCGATCTATCTTTATGTAAAAAAAAAAAATCACATCCTGAATTTCTCAATATGTCGTGCTTCTTCGCTAACACTTCATTTTCTTACCCGCTTGTTGCTTGTAGTTGTTGTTCATTTGTTTTCATTGCTGTACAGTGTTCCATTTTATGGAAGTGCCAAACTTATTCACGCTCTTGTCCAACTCTGGGGTTCTTTGCCAGTTCTTGGCTGCTGTGAATAGCCCAGTATGTATTTTCCATGTGCATGCTTCCAATTGTGAATAATTCTAAGAGTGTGATTGCTAAATCACGGGTTAAGCATATGTCCGACTTTGGGAGATAATCCCACACCATTTCACAACAGCCTACAGTCAGTGTAGAGTCCCCGTTGCTTCACATTCTTATCAACACTTGATATTTTCCAGAGTTGGGAATTTTAGCCATTTTTACTGAGTATTGTCATGGTGTCGCTTTTATTATTATTATTATTATTATTATTATTATTATTTTTAAAGATTTTATTGGGGAATTGGGGAAGGGGAACAGTGTTGGGGAACTAGGGAAGGGGAACAAACAAGTTGCTGTCCTTTTGTTCTTCAGCCTAGTTGTGGAGGACATCGCTTCACTGGCCCATGTTGGTATTGTGATCATTGCGCTCTTCCTGGCTGAGGCAGTTGGTCGCTGGCCATTGGACGGCCGCTCATGGCAGCTCACAGCAGCTCTAGCCGGCTGCCGGCCGCTCATGCTGGCTGCCGGCCACTCACGGTAGCTCATGGCAGCCCACTGCAGCCTACGCCATTGCCAGCCACTCATGACAGCTCAGCTCCAGGTCGAGCTGTTGTTCATAATCTTAGCTGTAGAGGGTGCAGCGTCAGTGGCCCATGTGGGACTCGAACCAGCGGTCCTGTTACTCAGAGCTCACGCTCCCAAGCCAACTCTTAACCAACTGAGCCACTCGGTTGGCCCCCATGATGTTGCTTTTAAATTTTTATTTTCCATAATTACATGAGATTGAATGCATTTTCCTATGTTTATAGACCATTTGATACTCTCTGTTTTTGAAATGTCCTACCCATTTTTTTCTCTTGAGTTGTTGGCCTTTTTCTTATGGAGGAGTTCTTTTTTTCCCTCTGGTTTTATTGAGATATACTGACATCCAGCACTGTGTAAGTTCAGGTGTACAGCATAATGACTTGACACATATACTGTGAAATGATTATCACAATAAGTTAACATCCATCATCTCATATACATACAGAAAAAGAGACAGATTATTTTTTTGTGATGAGAGTTCTTAGGATTTACTCCCTTAACAATTTTCAAATAAACCATACACAGTGTTAGCTCTAGTCCTCCTGTTGTACATTATATTCCCAGTACTTAATTATCTTTCTCTTTTATTTTTTTAAACTTTATTAGGGAATAATGTGTTTTTCCCAGGACCCATAAGTTCCAAGTCAAGTTGTTGTCCTTCAATCTTAGTTGTGGAGGGCGCAGCTCAGCTCCAAGTCTACTCACCGTTTTCAATCTAGTTGCAGGATGTGAAGCTCACCATCAACATGTGGAAATGGAACTGACAACCTTGTTAAGAACATGTGCTTTAACCAACGGAGCAACCCAGCTGCCCACTTTCAACTCAGCGGCAGCTCAGCTCTGGTGCAGCTCATTGGCCCATGTGGGAATTGAACCGGCAACCCTGTTGCTCAGAGCTCGCGCTCTAACCAACTCAGCCACCCGGCCGCCCCAAGTACTTAGTTCTCTTATGATTTGAAGTTTGTACCTGAGACCACCTTTATCCAGTTCCCCCACTTCCGACCTCTGCTTCTGGTAACTACAAATTTGATCTCTTTTTTTTATGAGTTTGTGTGTGTGTGTGTGTGTGTGTGTGTGTGTGTGTGTGTGTGTGTGTGT